CGCAGCAATCTCCATGCCCTGTTCTTTTCCTTTCGCGCATTACGACACTCCGTGTTCCACCATGGGACGTGTCGTTTGCCGGGCATTCCAGATGTTTGCGGTATGCACCTGGCTGCTGCGTCAGTTAGAAAAGCTGTGAAGTACTTCACAGCTTCATCTATGTTTAACCTACATATGTCTGTCCAACTCAAACGTGTAGTGTTGTGGAACTGTTCCCAGTCTGCTTTGTTTATCAGCCATTTGGGAACATGTAGAGGACATTCATATGTTGTTTGTGAACTCAACACTACAGGAAAATGGTCACTACCATATGGATTGTTTATGATATTCCATTTCAATAGGGGTAGAAGTGAAGGTGATACGATGCTGAGGTCTATAGACGAGTAAGTTTTGTTGGCAACGTTATAGTAGGTTGGCTCTTTCCTATTTAACAAACAGGCGCCGGAAGAGAAGAGAAATTGTTCAATGAGACGACCTCGTGCATCACAGCGAGAATCGCCCCACAGTCCACTATGTGCATTTAGGTCCCCAAGAAGCAAATAAGGTTCAGGTAGTTCGTCTATTAAAGACTGAAATTCACGTCTTTCAAGACGGTGGTGGGGAGGTACATACAAAGAGCAGATGGTGACGAGTTTGATTAAAAGTACCGCTCGAACAGCCACCGCCTCAAGAGATGTCTGGAGTGGTAAATGTGTACACGCTACTCCTTGGTTAATAATAATGGCTACGCCACCGGATGACGCCAGAGCCTCATCTCGGTCCTTTCGGTATATGACGTAAGCGCGTAAAAATTTGTATTGGAGGATTTTAGGTGTGTTTCTTGTACACACAGCACTTGAGGTGAGTATTTGTATAAAAGCTCTTGTACGTCGTCGAGGTTCTTAAGCAGTCCTCTGAAGTTCCAATGTATAATTTGTGTGTCCATATTGGAAGTAAAGTAGTGCTGTGTGTACGTTAAGGGAGTGACTTGTTTAAGCTGAAAGGTCAAGCTCAAGTACCAGGGCCATTGTCAGGCCCTGTTATGGGCTTTTTAGTTTTCTTGGCGCGCTCCAGAGAGCCGCGCCGTTCTTTTGGCACCAGGGGTGCCGCCGTATCCATTGCCTCCTCGGAGGCACTGGATGCCCGCTCATGCGAGCTGGTTTTTCGAAGGTTGGGCCTCGCCTGGCGGGGTGAGGCCTTGAGACCCAAGGACCCTGGAGTCCCTGGTCTCTGTTCAATAGTAGGCGGAGTAGACTCAACTACTGCCGCTTTGGGGGCAGGCGCCACAGCCAATGGCTCGCTCTGCGCAGGCCGAAGGAGTGGCGAGGGCTGGTGCGACACTGCCCCCAGGCGCGTCGCATCAGCATATGTGGGGCCATAAAATGGCGAGACTCTTTTTCTTGCTTCTTTAAATGTAATGTTTTCTTTTATCTTTAGAGTGATGATCTCTTTTTCTTTTTTCCAGAAAGAACATGAACGTGAGTACGCGGCATGATTTCCACCACAGTTCACACAGTGTGATGGTTCTTCGCAATTGTCAGAATTGTGGCCTGACACTCCACATTGTGCACACGTTTGGTGACCACGACAGCTTTGTGAGCCGTGGCCATACTTCTGGCATTTAAAGCAACGACGCGGGTTAGGTATGTATGGTCTGATCGACGTCTTTGTGTAGCCTGTTTGAATACTTTCTGGGAGATTACTGGAAGCGAACGTGAGTATTAGGTGTTTTGTTGGTGTTGCCTTGTTGTCTCTTCTAATGGTGATCCTTTGTACATTGGTCACATTCTGACTTTTCCACCCCTCCAGAAGTTCCTCTTCAGTCAAGCTGAGCAAATCAGCATCAGATACTACTCGACGGGTTGTGTTCATGGATCTGTGTGGCGTTACAGTGATGGGAGTGTCACCAAAAGTTGAAAGATTCTGTAGCTTTTCGAACTGTTCTTTTCCTCGGACTTCAAGGAGGAGGTCTCCGCTGGCCATTTTGGTAACTTTGTACCCGGCTCCAAGAGTTTCTGTGAGACATCTGGCTACTACAAAGGGTGATACGGTTCTGGCTTGCTTGGTGCTTATTTCACTATGTATAACATGAAAATGGGGGAAGTTTTCACTTGATCGGTTGAAAAAGCCTAAGTCTTCGGTGCGTACACGCTTTAAGGCGGTACGATCACTTAATAGGGGAAATGCTTTATGCATGCCAGTTTAATTTTCTTCAGAAGCGTTGGCGGCCACCCACCACGGAGCCCAACAAGGGGACGCTACAAGTTTGTGGATGCTAAAACCTGCAGACGCCAGCCGTACAACGCAACTATAACCCAATGCGCCTAGACCAAGGTAGGCTATTTGCACAGGGTTAACCCTCACCGCCAGGAAGTTTGGAAGTAAACGGAAGAGAGTAGAAGACAGGACAGATAAACAGTAAGAGATAAAGACGAAGATGTAGGGAGGGAGAGATAGGAAAAGGCGACTGCCGATTTCCCCTGGGTGGGTCAGCCCAGGGGTGCCGTCTACGTGAAGCCGGGGCCAAAGGGGTGTGTTGCCTCTGTCGGGGGGCTTAAAGGTCCAATCACCCAGCGTCGGCTCAACCCCCAGGATCCCCTTTTCCCCGGACACGGCAAAGCCACGCACGGCTAGGCGTGGGAGGGAGTAGAAACTCCCCCGTTAGCTCGGGTCCGTGGTGTCGCTACACACCAAACGCCTACTTGCGCAGGCGCCCCTGCGGGCGTTCGCAAATCAAGCACGCAGGGCTGAAAAAGAGAGCATGGATGAGGAATACACATTTATTGAAACGACATACTAAGGTTTGCCTGGGTAAAGCCCTTATTCGAGGGCTCCACACGGAGAAACTCGCAACGCGTCGCAAGTGGCTATTCCTCGCGTGGGGGATCAGCTCGGTGCGGCATGTACTGGAAACAGCGAAAGCCTGTGGGATGTGCAGCGCGTGGCGGAGCGGTGAAACACTGCATTGCTGCGCCAGCTACTGTACATCGGCATGGAGTCGAGGCTACCCTACGTGGCATCGGTGATCAGCAGCGGCACATTTGGACAAAGCGCCGCTGCTGAATCAATTCTCGGAAGCCGTGTCCGGCATGCTGAACAGCCTGTTGCACGTCATGGTAGCGGTGCAGCAATGCAACTTTCCGCCGCTACGTCACGCACTGCACATTCCGAAAACAACTGTTTTTGAGGGTACCTCGCCACCGCGATTAGTTTCGGCAACGCTTCATTTAAAGCAACGGTGCACTGCCGCATCCGATCCCGCCAGCCACAGCAAGTGAAGCTAAATGGAGCCTCAGCGCCATAATTAAACGCGTCAACCACGCATGCTGGCTCGCGAGCGGAACTACAAAACGGTACTGCTTCTAAAAACGCTGCCCAGCGTTACCACCTTCATGAAAGCCATCAGCGCGATCAGGTACGTAGTCGTTTGCGTCCCTTGCTTAAGGAGCCTTGCTCATCGGCTGTGTTCGTACACGGAGAGACTGCTGGTCTTATCGTTGTCGTTTTGTGCCAAGATCCGAGAACATGTGCGCCGATTGCTCCGCCTTGCGATTTAATCACTCTTCTGGGTGAGAGAACTAGCACGGCGAGAGAAAGAAAGAATGACGCAGAAAGACAGAAAATTTAGGCGAGGTGAGATTCGACCCCGCATGACCATTGTAGGAAATCGAGCGTCGTAACAATTAGGATAACCCGTGACGCTAGCCGATCACAGAATAGTGCCCTGGAGTATTTTGTGTAAAGTATAGCATAAGAGCTTTTAATATAATCAAATACAACGTAGTGTAGTACAGTACAGCAAAGGGAACGAAAAGAAAAGTTACGATGAAGAGAAAAGACGTGAGGGCGGGGTGGAAGCAAGGCAGGTGGGCAGAATGAGTGGTGAGAGGGAGAAAAAAAGAGTGAACGATAAAAGTCTAAAGACCGACTACAGATAAAAAAATACATAGAAAGAAAGGAAAGGTGAGAGAAAAAAGGAAGCACGAAAAATGAAAGGAAGGAAAATCGTGCACACTATAGGTGTGGAAATGATCAAAGTCAGAAAGTAAAACTCTAATTAAGCCATGATAGTTTAAATGCTCACCAGTCCTACTGAGAACCCGGCTTGCTTGACCTTGAGCAAGCTACATCAATTTTTTTTCTTGGAGTAATCATTTTACCAGCACGAATGGATCAATGACGCCACTGAATAACCGACATTTACGAAGTACTTAGTTGCCGCAGCCACACACCTCTCCGGTAGGCTGGCAGGCTGAAAGCTGTTAGATGTTTACGCATGAGCTTAAATTATTTAGGCCAGGAGCCGCTAAGCTTTTTTTGGGCGCAAGGCCAAGTGGCGTGAAGCCGACACGGCCACAGGGCAAATCGTTAGGGCGTCTTTGCAAGCAAAGATGAATATTCGGTGAATGGATCATAAAGAAATACAAAACTGGAATAAAATGATGCTTATTTTCAGCACGCATAGAACAGAGTTATTATACACCAACCTATAAAATAGAAGCAAGAAAACTCTTTCAATGAAAATTTCGGTGCTGTATATTCTGTATATCCTCTGTATTTCGATGGTGCATGTTTAAGGGGGGGGGGGGGGGGAGTCAGATGCCGACCCTTTATCTAAGCAAACGATGACCGCTTGTATTGTGAAGCCACGCTCGTACTATCCGCGTAAAATAAAACCCGAACAACGGCAAGCCTTCGCGATTGTACAGTGCACGCCATCCACCTATCACCTATAGACAGGGACTTATATATGAGCAGAACTGCCGAACAGGATGCACGCACCTGTCAATGGTGATGACTGGACAGTGCACAAAGTACCATCGCCAAAATGATGGTATAGCTGCTGTATAGCCACCGTGTGTTTTGCCGCTGATCGGGTAGTTAATGAGGATAGTTGATATTTTTTCAATGATCTGTCCCTTCTGTGGCCGTTGAGAACATACCACGCATGCAGATGCGTGTCGCCGTATAAAATCACGTCAATAATCGCGCTCAGCTTGTAGCACTTCTACGGTACACACCCGTCGAGCAGTATTTGTGTGAGGCGTATGTCTCCGCGTTGTATGGCCACCAGCAGGGCGCTCTGCACGTGGTCCGCGTCCAGGGCGCGTAGCCTGAGCAGCTCGACGCTCAGCTCGACGTCGCCGTTCTGAGCGGCCACCTCGAGTGCTCGTAGACCACGCATGTCGCAGCAGTTCACGTCCAGCAAGGGATGCGCCTGCGTTGTTCAATGGTACACACAATTCATGAAGTATGAACCTCATGAAACAACTCTCCCAGAGTGAAGACGAGTGGGCTTCGCACTACGCTGTGTAACTATGAGCTATCACGGAAAGTCTCCAATATTCGACTATGGTGTCACACTGATTTTCCATTACCACGCTTTTCACATTCGTCTAGTGCAAGCGTTGTTATTCGGCGAGTAAAGCGCTTCCTTGAGGCTTTCGTCACCCGAATTGTGCAGCAGGACGATACATTGCGGTCGATTGCATGTTACCGCCGAAATCCTAAGTTCTTATGCGTCCTGATCTGAAGGCGTGATTACACAAACTTAGGAAAATGCGGTTCCGTTTCGTGTACAGCGCAATATTTGAATGATGCAACACGCCACCTCCGAAAGTCACTAGCATGCCATTATTAAATATGGCCAATACGTGTTGCACACGCTTGCTACGTAGTTGGTGACCCCACCTCCAAGGACAGAACGAGCACTTTTTTCATGTTTTAAATACGAAATATTAGAATTGGTGTGGTGGCACGCTGCTCAGTATTATTGCGCTTACATGCTCACGGTGAGTTAAGTTGAGGTGATAATTGACGCGGCATGCAGTACATTGCAGCATACCACGAAAAAATTATCTGCTCGCCAGCTTTTACGCTTTGGAGCAGTAATTAAAACTCTGGTGAATAGATATAGAGGTAAACAGCGGCCCTCAGTCGGGAGTCAAATAGCCGTACTAGCAATTACATCTATGGTTAGCCTAATCAGGTATAATAGTAGATGAGAAGGTAACGGAGCGAATTATTTCTAGTTATGAAATGGGGCGAAGGCAAAAAACTTCGTACGAAAATAATGACGTGTTTGCATAACTCAACAGAAAACGTCAACTTTAATTGCTAGACCCCGACAACTATTGGCAGCATACTCATACACAACGATAAGAACACGCAAATGAACACTAAAGGTGAACACTTTAGATTGGTTGCCATAATGAGCTGTATGCCACCGACCGTAGCACAAACATTGTTCACAAACAATGTTCCACGATTAAGAGTATGATGTACCCTGCTATGGGAAAGCACTAAGCCATCCCCTCAGCAGCATCCCGGCACAAAACGAAGTACATCGTGTGTTCAGAAAAAGTTGTTAACAATTTAGAGTACTTGGTAGTCTACTATGGTAGAGCTTAAAGCCGTCTCGAGGGCCTCATACTTGATGAGGACTTGTTGACAAAAATAATTATGAACCCAAGGCACGCCAATGTGTTTAGAAAAAGTTGTCACGGCCACTGGATTAAAAAAAATCACAGCATATCTGTGGACTGAGTGATGATGAGTGGGGCGAAGCGTCCTTCAGTTCGTCCGCGCTTTCCTTCATCAGTGCGTCCGTCCATGCGACCGTGCGTGTGTTCGTTCGTGCGTTCGTGGACCTGTGCGTCCACCCATCCATCCTTCTATGCGTCTGTCCATGCGTCCGTCCGACCGTGCATCCATCCGTCAGTTCGCGCCTCCGCCCCTGCGTTCATTCGTGCGTCCATCTTTTGGTCCAAGCATCCGTCCGTGCGCCCGTCCATACGCCTGTCCGTCCCTCCATGCGTCCATCAATCCGTCCTTCCGTACATGCTTCCATCCATCTATCTGTGCGTCCTTCCCTCCATTCATCCATGTGTCCATCCATCCGTCCACCTAGCGAACACTCCAAGTACCGCCATCCAGCGGACATTCCAAGGACTAAACGAGAGCTGGCTACCTACTACTACTACTACTATTACTACTACTACTACTACTACTACTACTACTACTACTACTACTACTACTACTACTACTACTACTATTACTACATACATCGCAGACGCACCACCCACTGCATAAGAAGCACCACACCTGAAATGAAAGCGCCCCCTAGTGTAAGTATTCCATTTTCTTTTGCTTGTTCATCATATAACTACACGGACGCATGGACGGATGGAAGCAAGAACGAATGGACGGTCGGATGCTTCGCCCCACTAACCATCATTGACCCCGTGGATATGCTGCCATTTTTTCATTCTGACTGCAGCGCCAGAATACGTAGTCTAGCGGATGAAAAATTGGCAGATCCCACGTACAGTGGCAATCGATGATATGCGAAGCACAATTGAGAAACTTTGATATGTCCATTAAAATCAGTACAAGGTTACAAGGTGGAGGTGAATGATATCGTATATGACATCCGTGTCATGATTATCTTGTTTGGATGCCTCGTTCACCTTCGTCGTCTATTCACGACACGTGATACCAAATTTAGTATATGTGGAGCTAGCGAAACAGCTGTGAGCACGCTATTAGCGTGCTATGTTGTAATGTTGCTACATGACACCCGTGTCGGGATCATCATGTTTGCACCAGTCATATACTTTTTCATCCATTGACGTCATGTAACCCAAAATTTGGTATATGTCGCGCCAGCAAAACGGCCGCGCGCGCGTCATGACGGGCCCAATATACTCCACTGTAGCGTTGACGCGCGTAAACGCTGGGCACAGCGACGCTACGTTAGCAAAACGCGAGCACTCTATAGTCTGACGCCAGGCGCCACCAGCGTCCATCCACGCGACCCGACGGCAACAGGCTCGAAATGCGACATTCAGCGCCAATGCGTTACCCAGACAACACAGGGTCTCCCTCTTTTCGTGACAGAGGGATGCCGGGCGCGCTGAAACGCGCTAGTGCCAAAGCAACGCAACGCGGCGCATGCCTGCGAGTATATGGCAGGACCGGTGCCAGGCGTGGAAACGCCGACGTGACGATATGAACGCCGGCGAGCACGCACACCGCATCACGTCGAAATGTATTGGTGCCTTGATTGTTGCATGTAGTGATGTTCTCACATGGCATGCATCTGATAGTTATCATGTTTACACCAGTCACCTAGCTTTGTCATCCATTTGTCATCCTTTGTCATCCAAAACCTATTTCGGCATATGTGAAGCGAGCGAAACGGCCACGAGCGCATCATCAGTGTGGTATTTAGTCATGTTGTTAAATGACACGCATGCCACGATTATCATGTTTGGATGTGTCATTTGCCTATGTCATCCGTTCACGTCGCGTAATACCGAGTTTGGTACATGTAGAGCTAGCTAAACGGCCGCGAGCGCATCATGAGCGTAGCTTGCAGTAATGTTGTTACATGACACGCATCTAATGTTTATCATGTTTGCACCAGTATTATATCTTCGCCACCCATTCACGTCCCGTAATACCAAACTTGGTATAAGTGAAGCTAGCAAACGGCAGCCAGCACATAATGAGCGCGGCATGTAGTCATGTGGTTACATGACCCGCAACTCATGATTATCGTGTTTGCACCAGTCACATACTTCCGTAATCCATTCACGTACTGTAATGCCAAAATTGGCATATGTGACGCTAGCGAAACGGCCGCGAGCGCATCATGAGCGTGGCATGTAGTCATGTTGTTACATGACAGGCATGTCATGATAATCATGTTTGTATGTGACATTTACCGATGTCATCCGTTCGCGTCTCGTGATACCGAGTTTGGTACGTGTGAAGCTAGCGAAACGGCCGCGAGCGCGTCATGAGCGTGGCATGTAGTCATGTTGTTACATGACACGCATGTCTTGATTTTCATGTTAGGGCCTGTCGCTTGCGTTCGTCATGCAGCCATTCCATACCATACCAGTTTTGCAACATGCCATGTGAACGAAACCACCGCAAAACTTCATCACCATGTAATGTAAATCATGACATTCATGACCTGCATGTCATGATTTTCATGTAATGACTAGTCAAATATGTTTTTCGTACAGTCATGGTATGCCATACTAAGTTTGGTATCGATACCATTATCGAAACGGCCCAGGAGAGCTAAAAGTCGCAGGCGGGTGGATAGATAGATAGATAGATAGATAGATAGATAGATAGATAGATAGATAGATAGATAGATAGATAGATAGATAGATAGATAGATAGATAGAATGATAGATAGATAGATAGATAGATAGATAGATAGATAGATAGATAGATAGATAGATAGATAGATAGATAGATAGATAGATAGATAGATAGATAGATAGATAGATAGATAGATAGATAGATAGATACGCTTAAGGTCACCGAAGTTCACTAAAAAATGCTTAAAAAAGAGCACCCTTGAGATGGCGTTAGTAAATATGGAACGCGATGCGCGCCTCTCGCGCCTTGCATCTGTCAGCGGATTGTGGTCGCGATAAATGGGGGACGCGCGCTCGCATTTACCTTCTGCGTGCCCTTATAAGGGCGAATATCACAGACTGAAATGGGGCAATGTCAGCCACGCAACTCTCTTTATACAGTGTGTGGTGCCCATTGCACCACATAGGTGAACAGTTTGTACTAGGAGGGCCAATCACTCGTTGCGTCCAGCGGCCGTGAAGTTATTAACGATTTATAGTACGATGTACTCTACTATGGAAGAGCATAAAGCCATCCCGTACGTCTCACAGGTAGCGAGGCTTCAAAGCAATGGCGATACACAAAATAACCCCAGAATGTTCGAAAAAATGTGTGAATATCTAGCTTATGACAACCACTATGACGCCTCTAAAAAATTGAAAGATTATTGCAGAAATATTATAACGAGAAAATCATAATTTTAAATCAAATACACTGAAACAATGGCTCTTTACGTGCGGCGAAGAACTTTATAGTCAAAGTTTTAAAACTCTTTCTAGTGACGATCACCTATAGATTCTAGAATGCACCATTTGTCACACGTATCATTTGCGTTGTTGGATCAGACGTGACTGGCCTGCAGTCTCCGAAAGGGTTCATTCCAAATTGACAGGTGCCCCATCACGCTTTCGGCACTTCAAGGGCCACTCACAAGGCCACATACCAAATTTTAGTTAGACCATGGAAGTTTTTGGGTGTCCGACGAGAAAAATTTTGCCATGAAAATTATGTGAATCAGTTTTTTTAACGAAATGAGAAAACTGTTTTTTTTTTTTTTGA